ATTGAAAATGCTCAAGTACATGTGTTGCACTTTATGGTTTGAGAACAAGGAAGGAAAGGAAAATATGCTAACTTCACTTATCATTCTCTAAGAAAATTCCTCCCCTTACATTCTGCAGCGCATGTGGAAAACGCCTGAGTTCCTGAAAAAAATGTTTACTTTATACTTTTCTTTTACTTGTCCCTCACTTTCTCTCTCTCTTTTGCTCCTTGTTTTGTTTTTTAAGCCTCATAGATGGTTTTTCTAGTTTCTTCAAAGAATGGCACCAAATTCTTAGCATTTACTTGTTTTTCTGTACTTTTCAGTACTCAAGGAACACTTACAAACTATTTCTTCTGTCTCAAACCACTTAGAAATGTATTTAAAGTGTGTGACTAAATATGCAAATTATGTTAATTTTTTGGTAGCCAGCCACATTAACCAATTAGAAAGTTGAATTCATTGGAGAGTTAAAAAGGGAATTGAATGGAATGGTGATTTGATCGAGTAATTGAAGGTCCATTCTGGGTGCTTGCCCTGGGAATTCTCCCAACATTTGGTTTTTCTTAGACATATACAACAGTATGCCTTTCATGATTTCCTTTAGCTTGCTGTATAATTAAACTGATAGGCATTGCACTGCATTCTGTGGTTTCAGTTTAGAAATTAGTGCAGCTCATGAAGAGATTATCAGTCTAGGTGTCGTTTATTTATGTGCATTAACCAATGTCAAGCTGTATAAAAAGTTAGACAGGACTCTGCTAAAACTTAGATAAAAATATCTAAGTTATTGGCATTCTTGGTAGTAGCTTCTTAGATTTAGACTGTTATTTAGGTCTATATGATAAATGTTCTTCCCACAAGCAGTTATTTTGAGAATATAGTACCATGTATCTGAGAACATTAAGCATAATCACATAAATGAGGTGATTGCCCAAATCTCTCAGTGTATATTTGATTTTTTTAAAGTAAACTACTTATAATTGGCTGCTTAAGCTTGGCCATTATTGAGAGTCAGCAAATAGGAAATAATTAAAACATGGAGTTGTTACTGGTAACCAAGGAGGAAATCAAATGAATTCTAAGTTGTTTCAATTTGTCATTGGCTTAATTTCATAACACACACTTCCTTCTTCATTCACAGAACATTTGCTTATTTTTAAAAATTAAAAGTGAATCAATTCTCAATTTCATATTTAGGAAAAAATTATGACAAATTATACTCAATTTAGAATTTAGGCAAAATCCTTTAGTATCATTGATCATGACACATTGACACAAAAACAGGAATAGGTGTAAATAATCTTTGTTAAAGATGTTTTGGAGCCTGTAGTAATAGTATAATATGTTCAAACAACTATATAAAAATGGTAATTTTTTCAAATGTTGTGCATTCTGGTTTGTACATTTTGTGGAGAAGTTTATTTTCTTGATTTTATTTGGAAGAATTGTCCTTGGCCATTTTTCTTTAAAATTGCCTTCAAAATCAATGCATTAAATTTATTTCTAAAATGAGTAGCATAATCAATTTGAAATCAATGATTTAGTTGTCTCAAAATGTATGCCTCTGTTTAGATTATATTAATAAATCCCAGAAAAGTGTATTTTTAGGAAAGGGAAAAGAGAAATATGCTTTTAAAATAAAAATTGATTTATTTATCCTCATTTTCTTTCCAAATTATATTGTTTTTCTCAGGTAGTGTGCATGGATTACCCCACTGTGTACTGCTGATTGTTGACTAAATGTAATACTGACTCTGCTTTATTTTACTTAAATTTCAGTGCTTACATTTTCTTTTTTAGAACAAAAACTGGTCAAAATTCAGGGGCATAGCCAAATTAAAAATTTCTTATTTTGTCTTTCATTGATGAATTTACTTTGTGCAAATGCAGGCCAGATAAAATATTTGCTTATGATTAAAGTCTTGTGTTTCTATCAAGAGACATTCTTGACATCGTGCCAGTACATTTTAATAAATTAATCACCTTATAAGTGCTGTCAGGCATAATGCATTACGAATAGACTTTGACTAAGGTGATGTAGAGTTGCCATAATCAGAAGCATGACAAGGAGCTTATCAAGTCCACGAGATCTTGCTGTGGCTGCTGGAATGCAGACTGGCCATCAAATGCGTTTTCTTTACTAACCTAGTCATCTTGCCGTACTTTGATAGGTTAAAAATGAAGGGAAAACAATAAGAAAAATGAACTAACATGTAACACGGTAGTTTACACATGACTAGCTGCATCATCTGAATGAGTTATGTACTCACTCTGAGACTGCTTTTCCCACCTGAATTAAAGAAGAAGCAAGAAGCCAGTACCAGGAAAGTTTTGTGAGGATCTAATTGAGATAATTAATATAGGATCTGGCCCGCAGTCGCAATTGATAAGAAATTTGTGACGGAGATAAAAGGAAAACAGTATTGCTTCTGTTTGCTGCAAAGAAATTTGGCACACAGACACACACAAATAGCTAAGACACATGAACAGCTGTGTTCAGAGCCCTGAACCATTTAAATCATCTCTCAAAAGCACTTAAGAAAACCAAGCATATTGCTAATTGAGTGTACATCAAAGAATGTTACAGTAACCATGTTAATTTTCCTTCAGTTGGCTACATGTTAGAGTAAAGGATCTGTTCTGGGCAAAGAAAGTATGTAGTACTCATTTTACAAAATATGGAGGCCTTTCCTGGAATAACAAAATAATTAAAGGTTTTTAGTGGCAGGTGTTTTTTTTTGTTTTTTTGGTTTTTTTTGGCAGTGTTTCTTTGGCATAACGATCAATTTCTTGATCAGGAAACCCAGTTCTAACATTTTTATAATTGTTTCGTTTAGTGTTTTCTAGGAATATTTGGAAGTCAAATGTGTAAGTGACTTCTGTCAGGTTGACTTAAAAGTAGACACCTCCTATAATAACACTGTTTCAGGTGGTTTCCTATAACAACACCTGGGAAATGTCCAGGTGTTGTCCCCGCTAACTCTTCAACCCTGCAACGTAATTCTACAAGCTTTGCCCTCAGCCCATCCACATTACAGCCCATCACTTACCTCTCACCTGGGAAGAGTTAACACCATTAGTTATAAACATTAAGATATGGCCGGGCGCGGTGGCTCAAGCCTGTAATCCCAGCACTTTGGGAGGCCGAGACGGGCGGATCACGAGGTCAGGAGATCGAGACCATCCTGGCTAACACAATGAAACCCCGTCTCCACTAAAAATACAAAAAAATTAGCCGGGCGTGGTGGCGGCGCCTGTAGTCCCAGCTACTCGGGAGGCTGAGGCAGGAGAATGGCGTAAACCCGGGAGGCGGAGCTTGCAGTGAGCCGAGATCGCGCCACTGCACTCCAGCCTGGGCGACAGAGCGAGACTCCGCCTCAAAAAAAAAAATAAATAAAATAAAATAAAATAAATAAATAAACATTAAGATATTTGGCAACATGGGCATTAGAACAGCTGATCAGTTTTGAAATTGGAAATCCAAATCATGAGAGAATGAAAAACAATGTGTCACATTTTATGTTCCATATTCCTTCTAAAATGTTAAGACCTATTCAACTTTCAGGACAGGATTTTGTTTGCTTATGTGTGTTTTACAGTGTAACTCTGTAATAAGAGTTTATTGACTGCAAGTTTAATACTATCAGTCAAAGCAGACTTTTCTCTTTTCATGAATGATGCTTAAGAAAATTAAGCAAAAAGAGAGACAAAGAGAATGCTGCAGTTAATTAGTTGCTTTCCCAGATGCTGTAAGGTGGTATACACCCCAGGTGATATCCAAGAGGAACTCTAGGAGACAAAAGAAAATATTAGACCTTCTTTTTCATTTTATTTAATACTTTATCTTTCTACTTTTATCTGTTTAATGATGTACATAATATATATATTTAATCAGTTATATATTTGAGGGGAGTGGCTACTGAAAAGCAAGTTTTATGAGTGCATAATTTTAAAAGTTCAAAGATCACTCCAGTGGACAGCAAGGCGGAGGGATTCATTCTATACTTTGAGATCATTTATTAGGAAAAATAAAACATGCTAAAGAAAGGCAAAGAAAGTACAGCAAATACTTTACATTTTAAAAATTGAATTTCTAGGCCAGGCATAGTGGCTCATGTTTGCAATCCCAGCACTTTGGGAGGCTGAGGCGGGAGGATCGCTTGAGCCCAGGAGTTCAAGACCAGCTTGGGCAACATAGTGAGACTCCATCTCCACAAAAAAAAAAATAAAAAATTAGCCTGGCATGGTAGCATGTGCCTGTGGTCCCAGATACCCCAGAGGCTGACATGGGAGGATCACTTGAGCCTGGGAGTTTGTGGCTGCTGTGAACCGTGATCGTACCACTGCACTCTAGCCTGGCCAACAGAGTGAGACCATGTCTCTTAAAAAAAAAAAAAATTAACTTTCAGTGTATTAAGCTTGATATTTTGTCTGTGTTGTTTGAGGAACTTAAACTTGTTAATTATTTCATTTATATCCTTTCATGTTATACACACTAGTTAATACTTAGTAGAGTAACTACAGAAGGACAAACAGCCCGTGAGTGTGGTGCTGTTTACTGGTGTGCTCTTCATTGCTAGGGAATCATTCCTGAAGTGGCTCGTTCTTAACAGGAATGTTTTGTTGGTTGTTTCTTATTTTCATCATCATGTTAATGAGCTGCAATCAGCTTTGTTGAGATAAATTAGTATGTAATCGTTTTAAGGGTTTATGTGTAATATACGAATACTTGAATTGGGCCCCTAGAATAAGGCAGTAAAAAGCTTCCTCTGGAAAGTGTGATGTGAATTACTTTTGTCTTAGCTCATCTTGAAAGAAGCCTCACTTGATGGTATCCTGACAAGAAGTAATTGACCTTGGCTAGGTCCGAGGTGGATCGTGTTTTACTAACCTTACTCCATCATGAGATTGGCTTTAATGTGCTAAATCAACATTTTTGACCGGTAGAACATTTTTAGTAAAATTGACATGTCATATTAACAGACATTATATTAATTCAAAATTTATTTTCCTTTTAGTTCGCAGGAAGATGAAAGACCTATTTCACCTTTCTATTTGAGGTATTTATTTGATTTTTGTTGGTCTACTACAGGGAATAAAGGAGGGTTAAGGCTTCTTTGGGTTTATTTGCTCATTTTAATCCCTTTCAATAGAACATTCATTACTGTGGCCAGACTAAGCTTGCTGGAGCTCTTTACCTTACTGTATTTTCCCCTTTGGTTCAAGAAATATATTTTTTAAATGTCTAATATAGTTCAAACAACTAAAATGATATTTTGTTTTAAGTTTGAAAGTGCCAAAGTGATCATTTTAATTTAAAATCTGCCCGATGATTAGGCTGTAAGCAAAGTTAAAAATCTCTATTTTATACATATACGTATGCATAGGTTAGTGGGGGCCAATGGGTACAAGACCCACTCACAGACAAAGCCTTGGGTTGGGTTACATCATTTTCTATGTCATAGCAGAGAAGGAAACTAAATATTCAGCAAGTTTATAGGATTGAAGATGATTTTCTAAAGCTTATAAACCCAGAGTAACAACTGTTAAAGCAGGTATGTTAACAGAATTCAAGATCACTTCTCTCTGGTGAATGAATGCTGTACTGACAGGGTTTTCCGAGTGAGTCATCTGAGATATAGCCTAGAATCAAGTCTTCCTTATTGCATTTCTTTTCTTGCTACCTACCACTTCAAAGGCTTAGAAAATATATTTGAAAAGTATATAAAATAATGTAAATGTAAAATAATGCTGATGTTTGTTTTTTGAAATCTTTCCTGAAGTCTACTGCTTTTTATTTATTTTATTTTATTTTATTTTATTTTATTTTATTTTATTTTATTTTATTTTATTTTATTTTATTTTATTTTATTTTTGACGGAGTCTCGCTTTGTCGCCCAGGCTGGATTGCAGTTACATGATCTCAGCTCACTGCAACCTCTGCCTCCTGGGTTTAAGCAATTCTCTGCCTCAGCCTCCCGAGTAGCTGGGATTGCAGGCACCCGCCACCATGCCTGGCTAATTTTTGTATTTTTAGTAGAGATGAGGTTTCACCATCTTGGCCAGGCTGGTCTGGAACTCCTGACCTTGTGATCCACCCGCCTCAGCCTCCCTAAGTGCTGGGATTACAGGCATGAGCCACCACGCCCGGCCTGAAGTCTACTGTTTTTTAAAAGAAATGTCAGGATATGCAATACAGAATTTGTTTATTTATTTATTTTTGAATCTGACTTGTTGAAATAGTCCCAGAATGGATTTAGGCTATAATTCAACCACTAGTACTTCAGAAATGTGTCATAGGACTTCAGGCTTAGCCAAGTAACTGCTTTTTAGTAGTGTTTACCCTTTAGTGACTTGCAGCGTATTGCATAATCACTTTATGGCAAGAGAGGGAACATTTGAGGTTTCAGTATGAGACAACGTGGTCCGTTTTTTTCATCCTGGTTTCCTGCCGACCAAATCAGCATACTCTGGTTCATAGGCTATCTCAACTATGCAATTCATGTGAACACATGAGGATGTTGCTGAGCACGTAGTGAGTCTGGTATTCATTATATAAATACACACAGTAATATCAGCAAATGCTTGTTATATATTAATGGAAATTCAGTTTTACATAGTATAGTAGACTTTAGCACTGGATCATGCCAACTAATGAAAACTTATTTCTCTGAATGTCCTGTACTTGCAGAATGAAAGTACAAGAAAATAGAGTAAAAGAAAATCAATAATATATTTACCGAACTCTTAATAGAAGCTACTTGATTTTTTCAATGTTAAGTCATAGAAACTAAAATATGATAAAATTAGGGGGGAAAAGGGAATGAATATGCATACTGGCCCACATTTATGGTAGAAAAAGGAAAAGTTACCAGCAGGCATTCTTTTCATATGATGGATAAACCAAGCAGAACTATTTCACAAATGCAAAAATAGTAATTATTTAGCCTGAAATTAGAATTTCAGAAGTAGGCCCAATCAAGACATAAGACACGTCTGCTGAGAGGGGTACTCACTGGAAGTAGATCCAGCCACAAGCAGCCATGGAGGGGATAGGGCTGGGAAAGCTGGTCAGCAGTGAGATATTCAGTTTGGTGGTTAATTCTGAAAGTTATAGCATAAAGAGGTGAAACAGCAAAACTCAGTGGCTACAAGTCTGTGAGTGGACAGTCTTCAGAGAGTGCAGATCCGAACAGACAGAAGATGAGAGCAGAGCAGACCTCCAGTCTCAAAGGAAGGAGGGTAGATGATCCATAGCCGTGCTCAGGTACAGGAGGTCACATAGTGGTCCTGCTAGTGGAGTGGAGAAGAGATGGATTGTATATAACAGGACAGGGTCTGTGTCTGGGATAGAGGATACAGATGGAGAGCATGTGAAGACGCCACAGTGCACACTAGTGGAGGTCCCAGGACCTTGCTGTGGCTAGGGGAGAAGAAAGGGATGCAGAAACAGGGAACCAGAGAAGCCGTTTCAGCCATTATGTTGCTCTTGTTATCACCTTATGGAATTTCAGTTCTGTAATGTGATATTCTCATTGAACAGTCATGCCTGAATCACATGTTAGTCTATCATGTATTTCAGTTACCTTCAGTAATAAGGTCCTTTCTGTAATAAGGTAGGGCTGTTGTAAATAGACACACAGTCATATTTTTATTCTAAATCAAATATCTTCTGTGATAACAACTCTGTCATCTCTAATTTCAGTACTTCTCCAACTTAACTCACCACAGAGCCATTTGTTGTTTTTTGCAAAGGAAGGAAACAGTAGCTATCAATCTACACCTGCCACCATTCCATGTAGCAAGTTAATTGCAGTTATAGGAGCTCAAACAGTAGGTGTCATTGTTCCCCAGACGCTTATTAGGGATTACCAGCCCAGTTGAAATGATTAGGGAAATGAAAGGGAAGAACAGGTTATGCCAAACCCTTAGTAAGACTACAACAGAATAAACATGACCTGCAAACTTAAGGTAGAGAACGTTCTTGGCCAGGATGTTCATACCCTGTTCTCTTTTATATTCTAGGCTGGAATCCCAAACAACAGGGCCCCTACCTCAGTTGCTCAGCTGAGCATCAGAACAACTTGGTGGTGGTGTTCTTCTGTGCCATGTTCAACCTTTTATCCTCTGCATTCTTTTACCTGGCCTCCAGTCAGATCTGTCTAGGATCTGTGGCCGCTCTACTTCTGTTTGCCTGAGTTTTCAGTGTCTCCAAGCCTGAGTTTGGATTTCGGTGTTTGGTTTCCACTAAGACTCGAGTTCTGCATCTCCACTTGCTGTTTCTCCTCATCTCTACCGGCTCTCCCCTCCCCTACACCACTTTCATGCTCCTATGAGCAGGATCAGATCCCATCCTTATCCCATTTCATCAGACTTCTATCCTTGAACTCCTTCTTTACAAATTCCTGGATTATACATATAACTTGCATGCCTAGAACCTGTGTTTAATGTGCTTTTTCAAAATCTTAGGCTATGTGTTCAGGGGCTATATACCAGTTTTGTTCATTGGGCTCCAACTAGCTCACCTGGCATCTGAAACTTGGTCCTTGCTTAGCTAACACCTGTCTTCTAGCAGGTGCACTGATCTTCCTCTCTTTTCCTTTTCTCATTTAGTGCTCCATGAAAGTCCTGGAATTGACCATCTTTAAAAATATCAGCCCAAGTTTTAATACTCACAGTACAAACTGAGGCTAAATTATTAATTTAGCAGGTTTGGATTAAGGTCAGCTTCAGTATTTTGTCTGTTTTCTAATTTTCCTGAAGGTGCATCAGATGGATTTATTTCTAAGTTAGCTGTTTTGCAGACAGACTTACTCTTTCTAATTTGGTTAATTTTTAATTGCTGGAGCCTAGGAACTATCGATTTTTCAGTCTCATAACTGTACATTTATGTTAAAGAAAAAAATGACTTTGGCTAAATTCAAATTAAAATATTACCTGATATTTAGATGGGATCTGAATATTATACCATACCACTCCTATCTTGATATGTAGAAAACTTCTTTCTAAAGCATTTTTAGATAGTTTTTCTGAGGAATTGCTTTCCGAACAACTTATGCTAGAATTTGTATGTTTATGATTTTTTTTTTTTTGTATTATGCTTCATTAGCTTTAACTTTTAATAGTTTCTTTTTCTCCTTAAGAAGCATATTGTATGTTTTCTAAATGAATATTTTAAGGTAAAACTCCTTCATTATCACATGGGAGAGCTTTGGAGAAGTGTAGCATACCAAACATTATATTTATTCAAAAGCTTGTTTTAGGCTACTAAGAAGTGAAACAAACAAGCAAGCTGTTTATTTAAGTATCTACTTTTTTAGCAACATGATAAAGTCAGCTAGGTATCTGGATGTCTTTAGACACAACTACTTATCAAAAATATTTGTTTTCCTTTTTATTATAATAGTGTTTCCTCTTTTTTTGAGACGGAGTCTCACTCTGTCGCCCAGGCTGGAGTGTAGTGGCATGATCTCGGCTCACTGTAACCTCGATCTCCTGGGTTCAAGCGATTCTCCTGCCTCAGCCTCCACAGTAGCTGGGATTACAGGCATCCGCCACTAAGCCCAGCTAATTTTTGTATTTTTAGTAGAGAGGGAGTTTCACTATGTCGGCTAGGCTGGTCTCAAACTCCTGACCTCAAGTGATCCGCCCGCCTCGGCCTCCCAATGTTCTGGGATTACAGGCGCGAGCCACCACGCTTGGCCAGAGTAGTGTTTCTAAACTGAGGGGGCACATCCCCTCTACCTGTGGAGCTCCGTTGTTTTGGTTTTGGTTTTTTTATTATAGTAAAATATAAACAAAGGTTGCCATCTTAGCCATTTTTAAATGTACAGTTCAGTGGCATTAAGTACATTCTCATTGTCACACAACTGTCATCACCATCCATCTTCAGAACTCTTTGTATCTTGTATGAAACACTAATTTTTCATGTCCTCCTTTCCCTATCCCCTGGCAACCACCATTTCACTCTCTGTCTTTAAGAATTTGACTACTCCGGGTACCTCATGTGAGTGGGATCTTAGTCTTTGTCCGTTTGTGACCGGCATATTTTACTTAGCAT